ATATATAATATGATGATTGCCGCTTTGCATTGTCCATCATTATATATATTGCTTAATACAGTAAATTAGCCAACTATATCATCATCGATTGTGTTTTGGATGGAATTTCGACAAGTATATAGAAAAGCTTTTGTGACATCCTTTTTCTCACTCAATAGTGTACTTCTGTGTAAGATTGGAAACCGAACAAGCTTAAAGTATAACGATCCAAGAGTGCGAATGCATTAATGATCCCCAGCGCACACTATTGGTTGAATAAAGAGAATGGATACTGAACAAAGAGTACTCTTTTCGATAACCCCTTCGTCATCAGGCTCTACAGTCATACATACATTATAGTGAATGAATTAGTGTTATAAACAACATTGAATCAATAATATTGATAGCAATGGATTACAGTTCAATAGCATCAACATAAGCTGACTGTCAGAAAAATCAGGAAAGATAATATTTCAAATTCATGAATTTATAGTCTCTACTGAAGGCCTGCCAGGGCAGTAGTAGTGTCTGGCTGAACTTGCTTCCTTTGAACACAGAGCACTGGTTGTTTGAGGCGAATTGCAATAGCCTCTACTGTTTGGAGCAGGCGGTGCTTCGATGATTTTGGTAATTTATTAGGCACCCGGTAGATGATAGAGAAGGATTCTTCAACGCTGGCTGGCTCTGTGGCCGGTTTATACCAGATGGTCCAATATCGAACTGTTAATGGCTTTAACTACACCTTTACTTAGCCATAATGGGAGATGTTCTTGAGCGAGCACGAAAAATCAAGTTCCTAGAGCAATGGCCAATACAACTAGCTCCACCACAAGCGCAGTTGAATCGGTAGATACAATTTGAAGTGGCTAGTCTAGGTACTTCATCTTTCAGTCGAGGTAGCACCATCAGTCGTGAATAAAGAGACTTGTGGCGTGTTGCTACTGACAAGATTTATCAGTAGTATATGTACAAAGAGATGTTCATCGGCACAAAAAACATCAAATAACAGAGAGATAGACTTGACGTCAGAGAGAAAGAATGGACCAGTGTTACGGCGAAATATGAGAGACACAAAAAGAAGACAATGCGCGAAGGTGAAAAGTAGCACAAAACCGAAGATCTGTGCAATTGATGATTTCCAGATAAGGTGCACATAATATCCTTATATGGAGATATCAATTTCCAAATAAACATCCCGTTAGTAAGTCTTTTGTCATCTACTGTTGTACTACCATTAGTATAACGCCGTTGTGGACGCTGTGTCATGAAGTGAGGTGCAGATTTCATGCCGATGTCGATTTTCAGTACTGTTTGGAAAATGTATTGATAGGTCATTAGGGTTACGATCAAAGTTTGGGGTTTGGATTACGGTTAGAATGTTTCATTTTTCTCAGTTGTCTATTAGATAGTTGTCGGCCCTCTGACTGGAACCCCTTCCCCGCATACTAATTTCATCGAGGGCTACTGGAGAAGAATAAAAAAACAGGTTAAGAGCGATAAATGGGTCACAAAAAGAACTAATCCTCAGTCACCTCAATGAATACACGTAAGCCACGGGTCTAACGTAAGAACCGGTACTTCTCATTGTAAATGAGAGCTATTTTTAAGTCACTTCAGGGAAAAATATCCCTGTTTAGTGTGTTTTGTCATCATCATTGTTCTCTGTAAACGTCATCTTTATGTGAAAACACTGGTTTTCATGGTTTTTTTCGCGCTCAACGTCACATTGCAAATTCGACTGGTAGAATTCTGTTTTTACCAAACAAAGGACTAGCCGCATGACATTTGTTAGGTAATGCCTAGTATTCAATCAAAGTATTTAATATAGTCCTACAGGAGGTGGTCAATCGCGAGTGTGAATAGTTCATTGGTAAACATCGATGTTACTTCCTGATTTACACATGCTCCAGTTATTGAGACAATTGACTTTTTATGCAAAGAAAGGTGATGACATAACCATTCCGACAACAGAACTGAGGGAATTGTTGGTTTTCCTACACTAAAAAAAATATGCATTCTATGGGTGATTATTCCGTCAAGTCTATGGCGTTGCAATCAGAAGTTGTTTGAGACCATTGTCTACAGAGTTATTCGTATCAGGCTCAAATAGCGGGTACTTTGCAACAGTATATACAAAAAAACGGAACTACATATGTCTAAGACACACTGATAATGTCTTTATTGTCTGTGAAAGCAATTTTAAAAGCGGAAAACTTAATGATAAAATTCAATTCATACCGTCCGAATTTTAACTTCACGCATAAATCACGAGGAAAGTGATACTACTAAATTCCTAGACATTTCTCTCGTGAAATGGACTAATGGAAAGTCTTCATGGACGGGACAGTACATTTTATAAGCTTTGTTTCAATCCAACATAAAAACAAACTTTGTCAGAAGACTGTGCAACATAGCACACGAAATCTTTCCTGACAGTACAAGCGAACATGAAATAATGACTCTGAAGGATATCTGTAACAACAGAAGACAAGGGCCAGGAAACAGATCCTTTATTAAGGATATCAACACATTTATATATATTTCATGTACATTATTATAGATTATTGTAGGCAAACAAACACACTCTTCGGATTGGTTGTTTCTTACAGAAAGTTGACCTTGCATCTCTTTGTGACTTTCTTAAATCTCAGGTCATCTGTATGTTAACTGTATCTGCCTACGCAAAGTCTCCTGTGATTGGTTGTTGAATCAGTCTTTGTTCATATTTTCTCACGACCAATATTTGGGACATGCACATTGACGTAAAATACTGTCAACCACTTTTCGCTAGCAGCCACCTCTCACCACATATCTTCTCTAAGAATAGATATTCTGAGTAGTTCATCAATAAATATTTTAAAGAAATAAGCCCCAGTAAAGCTAACCAAATAGTTTCAAAGAAAGCTGTGTATATAAATTTTTACATTTAAAGGAGATAATGTGCAAGAAATAGTCAAACGAAGACTTGGTAAAGCTATTAGGGGAACTTATTGCGTTGCAAAATTTGTGTTCCTTAATACCAACCACAAAGAGGTTGATTCAACAATCTGGGAAAAACTCTCCAATCCTCAACACTGTAAACTGTGTGTATATCACTTTGAGTGTATTTGTGGAAGCAAATACCTAACATCGTACGGAAAGGCTATTGTCTACTCACATGATGCAGTATTTGCCAAGGTCCATGTCTATGGCTCTGAAACATGGCCAATACGAGTTGAAGACATGAAAAGGTTGACTGCTTTCGATCATAGATGTCTGCGATCTCTGTCTCACGTTGGCTTGTTTAATAAGGTAAGTAATGTTGACGTTAGGCGTAGAGTGTTGGGCAAAGAGGGAAAATCAATCGACGAGGTTATAAAGTTACACAGATTGAGATGGCTACGTCACGTGCTCCGCATACCTAACCATCGCCTCCCCCGATGGGCATTACTAGCTGATGATATAGGTGCAGGTTGGAAAAGAGTAAGTGGTGGCCAAACAAAAACATAGCCTCATCAATCCATAAAATCCTTGACAGTTAAACTGAGTCAGGTAGGGAGATGCAGACTTCCGGGTTGGGGTCCTCGGGACTCTAAGAATCAATGGCTGGAGACAATAGGTGACATGGCCCAAAATCGTTGTCAGTGGTGCAGATGTATTCAGTCTCTGTAATCTTTCATATTCCTTTCTACCATTACCCATTCTGTTTCACTCTTATACTTGTCAAACTCTATTGATTCTCTTCACTCATCTTCTTGTCTACCTCTGTGTGCTATTTGGAACGTGGCAACTCGAACTGCTGCACTTCGGTGCCAAGTTCTATGTTGAATCCAGACAGAGAGACTTGCCAAGGTGGTTGAGAACAGCTGAAGTTAAAGTGCCTAAAGGTTCAATAACAAGGCATCTTGTATACTGCGGAAATGATACTGACGCTGTCAAGTCATTCACTGTTATTATCAGCAGGTGAACTAAGGATTGTACTATGATACATTGATCGAAAATAACTATGCAGACAAATTCATCAGGAAACATACGATTAAGAAAGTTGAATAGGATTATTCACTATTCGTTAACAATAAGACTTTATTACATACGACTGCAATTTAAGGGCGAAATAATTACAAAGAAGTTAAGAAAATCAATTCAAAGAACTTTTAATGCTGGTAAACTACACGACTTATTCTCTACACGACCGATGGTGATTCCTCAATTGAAAATAAGAAGTACCTTGATCATCCACTTCTAACTATACCTACCGATTCAACTGCATCTGTGGAGCGAGTTATACTAGCCGTTGCTCTAAGAACTTGATTTTTCGTGCTTGCTCGAGAACACGTATCAGTGTGGCTAAATAAAGATGTAGTAAAAAGTCCACCAACAGTTCGATAATACACCACCTAGTCCAAACTGGCCACAAATCCAGCCAGCATTGAAGAACCCTACTCCATCATCTATTAGGCATCAAATAAATTGCCAAAATCATTCAGATGATGCAAGCTCCAAGTAGCAGAGGCTATCGCGATTCGCCTGGGACAACCGTTGCTCTGTGTGCAGGAGAAGCAAGTCCAGCCACTACTACTGACCTGGACATCAGTGGAGACTATAAATTCGTGGATTTGTATTACTATCTTTCCTAACTTCGCCTGTCTGATATTCAGTGTGTATTGTTATGTTGATGCTATCGAATTGTTATCCACTTATATTATTATTATTGATTCGATGTTATTTGAACAACATGAATGTTGTTCATAACACTGATCCATTCACTATAATGGATGGACATATAACTGTAGAACCTGATGAAGAACAGGTTATCAAAAATGGGAATATTCTTTGTTCAGCAACCATTCTTTTGCAAAACAGGAAGATGTTTGCAGTTGCGGAGGCGTGCGCATTTAGAGTTTATAAACCGTGTGTAAAAAAGGAAGTGGTGGTCAATGTAACATGGTAATATGCCTTACTTATTAACTGTTATTATTATTATTATTATTTTATTCTTCCTCATTGTTATTCTTGATTTGTTTAAAACTATCCTTTATCAGTACCATTGTGGTGAGAGCTGGCTGCTAGCCAAATTGATAGCCAGTAATTTACGTCACTCAAATATTTGGATGAATATGATTAAATAGGATAATAAAGTTTTCAATAGATTTACTATTATTACCAATAATGAGAGTATCACCTACATAACGTTTATACAGCATAAATTCTCCAAGCATACCTTGCATCTGTCTCTCCAATTTCGACATTCAGTTTTATTAGCTAATGGTTATCCGGAAAACTTTATCACTTGTCACAGTAAAGAAAAACCACATCTTGAAAAGATAGCTTCTGTACCAAAGAAAGCTATCTTTATTAACCTACCATTCAAGGCGACCAGATTATGCAGTTCAAAGACAGCTCAAAGACTTCGGCCAACCATCAAACGCACATTCTACACCGCATCTTTCTCTCCCTCATATGCCGAATATTTTCGATCCCTGTACCTACGATTAAAGGACGAAATTCTGTGGACTCTACTTCAAACTGTATTTACAAGTTCACCTGCAGCTGCGGTGACACCTACATAGGTAGAACCAACAGAATCTTCCAATGTCGTCGAAAAGAACATGTCCCAAAATAGCTACTAAATCATATAGAAAATCCCAATGCAATTAATCTGAATAGAAATCCAACCTCATCCATTGCAAAACACTTATTAGTGTCAGGTCACAAAATCAATATTGATTAATGACTGTTTCACAATTAGTTCACATAACTCTAATTCAAAGTTGGTTATTGAAGGTGATGGAAGCCCCTTGGATTAATCACATACAACCTAAACTGTGTGTACAGTCGAAAAACAATAGACTTCAATCTTCGCCTACCATGAACTAACTACTTGACCTATCTAAATATGATTGGTCATTAGTATGTAATTTTGTTTTTTATTTAACTGAGTAATTGTCATGAACTTTATTTTATTATTGTTAACCATGTTAGTTGTAAAGAAACTACGAAATGATGGCATCATCTCGCAAAATTTGTCTTCTTAATGCCTTATTGAACTTTATCAAAGGAACTAGTTGTTTTAATTCTTTATATATTTGAGTTCTTTCCCTCGCTGATAACTAATTGTTTACTTAATTGATTTAACTGAACTGTAATGCACTTTATGTCAATTTTAATCCCTCATACTCCCTTCCCCTCTTATCTGTTTGAACATGATATGGAAAACATTCACACCTGTCGTTTGGCATGATTAATTCAATGTAGTTTATTTGTTTGTTAGTCTTAAATATCCTGATGTAATTCTGTTGGTGTATATTGTTATGATCGGAACTGCGAATATGAGCGAATACTAACTTAATAGCGCTGGCTAATCTGTCCTAATCTCACGTCAACTATAACAATAACACCACCGAGCAGCAAAAGACTGAACGTTGATAAGAGATCTCTTTTACTGTCTCAAACAACAGTCGGAAAAGTGGTTGACAGCGCTTGCTTAGATATATATGTGTGTGTGTGTAAAATGACACTGAGAAGCATTAATGTCATTGATAAATTAAGACAGTGAACAACCAATAGGATTTCAAAGGTTATAAGTAGCATAAGAGGAAATTTGGTCATAAATCAATAAGTTTGGTGAGAGAAATACAAACAGACATTTGAAAATGACATGTAGAAAATTAGGTCTGTAAATATCATACATATCCCCGTGTGTAGAGTATTCACCTGAGGAGTTCTACCGAAATTTGATGAATTCATTAAATGCTGCTTTATTAACCTTCGTTGTTTGTTTCAAATTCGTATTGGGGAATAAAATGTTTACAAGTTGCATAGGTTGGATTCTTTACATCGAGTTGTTAATGATATCGTCTTAGACTTAAGTTTGTATTATTCGAACCCAGGAACTTTCGGTTACAAGGCAAGCTCGTATACCATTCAGCCGTTAGGACCCAAGTTAAGTTTGAAGTCTTGGAAAATTCCTTTATTAGCCCATGCTTACGTGGGATGGTAAAAACCAATGAAGGCTGGAGACAGTTAGTGATATTGTGGTGGTGTGATACAGACAATGTGTTCCAACGGAATATTATTCTCACATATTCCCACAGTTCAATATTGCATTAGCAGCAGAATACTATTGTGGTGAGAGCAAGCTAGCCAAAAATGATAGACAGCATTTTACGTCAATGTTTATATCGCAAATATTGGTCGTGAGAAAATATGAACAAAGACTGATTCAACAACCAATCACAGTAGACTTAGCGTAGACAAATACAGCTAATATATAGATGACCTGACACATTCAAGAAACAGTCACAAAGAGATGCAAGGTCAACTTTCAGTAAGAAACAACCAGTCGGAAGACTGTGTTTGTCTGCTTGAATAAGCTATAATAATGTACATGAAATATACATAAATATGTGTTGATTTCCATAATGAACGATCTGTTTCCTGGCCCTTGTCTTCTGTTGTTACACTATGTGTGTATTTGAACATTCTATTTCATGTCATTTAGTGTAAACCAAAATCACATGCTCAATGATTGGTTAAAGAATATCAACTGTATAGATATAAACAGCGGTTTGATTAATGAAAAATATACCTCGGCTTCTGTATCTCGCCTTTTGTTGTTACATTATGGCTGAAAATCGTTCTCAATGGCTGGTGCAGATGTATTCACTCTTTGTAATTTATTATATCCAATAAAATTCTATCCTTCTTCCATGCTGCTATTCTTTTTCCCTCACTCACTCACACTTGTGTTTATTATCTCCCTCTCTCTCTCTCTCTCTCCTTCTTTTGAATCTCTCTTTGCTGTCTTCTCTTGCTGTATGTGTTACAAGAAGGGAGAGTGGCAAATCGAACTGCTAGACATCTGTGCAAAGTTCTATGTTGAAACCAGTCAGTTAGTCAGTCCATGTTTATGACAATGTTTACGACAAAGACTAGCTGTCTTTGATCATAGGTGCCTGCGTTCTATTTCCCATGTAAAGTGGCATAATAAGGTGAGCAATATTGAAGTTAGGCGTCGAGTTCTAGGTAAACAGGGGAAATCAATCGACGAGGTCGTGAAGTTACAAAGACTGAGATGGTTAGGACATGTGTTACGTATGCCAAGCCATCGCCTCCCTCGACGAGCAATGTTAGCGGATATAGGGTCAGACTGGAAAAAAGCTAGCGGCGGTCAAACAAAAACTTGGCTTCACCAGTCAATGAAATCCACAACAGTTGGTCTAAGCCACGTAGGAAGGTGTAGACTTCCAGGCTGGGGTCCTCGGGACGGTAAAATCCTATGGTTGGAAACAATTGGTGACATGGCTCAAAATCGTTCTCAGTGGCTGGCGCAGATGCATCCACTCCTTGTGACTTATGATCTCCAATGAAACTGTTTTGTATTTCTTTATTACTCCTTTGTCTCACCCCTCTGCTCACTGTCTCTATTATGCTTTTCTTGTACTTTCTTCTCTTGCTTTGTGTGCTACACGGAGTGTGGTGACTTGAACTTCCGCACATTTGTGCAAAGTTCTATGTCGAAAACAGACAGACATTCGTATATGAAGCACTAACTAATTCAAGTACCTCATCCAAAGTTTACTAAGATGCAGTTTTATTGCAGAGAGTATGATAACCTCTCTCTCTCTCACTATTGTGCAATGACAAATTATAAAATAGCGCCTTATCAATTCCGTAACCTGAAACATTAGTTGAAACCTCACCACATTTTATTTATTTTCAGTTCTGTTGTTATATCAGCTTCTTGTACGGATGTTTCGACGATGTCTGAGGATCGTGGATTCCACTCATAGTCACTAGACACCAAGCTACTTAAAGTTAATCCTCATCACATTTTCCCTAGATTTTGGAAGTAAGCTATACTCTCAGCTTTGAAATAATATAACCACGATATATGATGGCTTCATACGATAAAATCTATGCATGCTTTTTGAGCTTCAAACAAATATTTGCATATAAAATGAGAAGTTCACCAGAACTGCAGGGATCGTGTAAATTCATTTATGCCCCAGTGATGGAATAAGGACTGGGACTAGACGGATTATTAAGCAATGTATGAATAGGTTGTTATTTAACGAGAAGATTTTCGTTGTAAGTAAAAGAATAATCCCCAGTACATCTCTCAGTTCTAACCGCTAGGACTGTGTCGGTGGCATAGCAGTTAGGACGCTCGCCGACCATGCACATGATCCGGGGTTCGATCCCCGGCCACAGACACACTCCTCTACCTCGCTAAGCCAGAAATAATACTGTTAAAGAGGAAAGGTTGTGCATGAGGCTAACAACCCCATCCTGTAAAAATGAACACTGCTATAGAAACTTCAAGCCACTAGACTGAAGCCTTATGTTCCACTGGGGAGCGTGAAGAAAAAAAATATCTCTCAGTCCCCTTCTCTGGTTTGAGGTCCCACCGTGTTCAAGAATTTCATATTGATCATACCGTAAGAAAGACCTGAAGGTGGTGGTGATTTATGGAATAATAATAATAATCTACTTTATTCCAAAACAGACAGTAGTTATAATACAGAATGGAATTCTCAGCATTTGTCACAATATTGCATCTTATTTACTCAAAATATAAATTTTTTTTGAATTAACCGGAAGAATTTGTTCACATTTACGGTATAAAGTCGAAAATATTCGAAGTACAAAATGAGAATAATAACAATAACAGTGAGTTTGTTTCAGACAGTATTGTCGATTTAGTTTGAAAATTTTTAGCATGTTATAGATTATTGAATCTAATGTTCTTTTGATATAGCAGCATGGTGAGGGGAAATACAAGATTGACAGTGGTAACACAGCTTAAACGATGATCACACTTATGAAAAATAAATGATTAACAACAAAAAAACTGAGAGGATTATAAATATGAGAGGAACAATAACAATAAAGCTTGATGTTATAAGGGTGGAGAAAATGGTTTATTTACTAGTGCAAAGAAGGTTAGTTAGTTCATGCCTGACAATACTGTTTTCATCACATAAAATACGTGCCGTCAAATATGGTATAATGGAATTTTTATACTTAGATGTACGTGCATAAAGTCTTCTGAAAGGACTTCTTGTTTTACCTGAGGAGACACAAGGTTTGAGCTGCGGGTAGAGTGGGTGCTCAGAGTCTGACAAAATTTGTTGCATAACATCAAGTGCCTATCAGTGACAATGTCAACGATATGGCTCAGTGGGATACCACTCGCTCTACTGACAGACAATCTTCAGAGTTCTACGAAGTATGACAAAGTCCTTTTTTAAGCAATCCAGGAAAGAA